TTATTTTGAACTTTCAAAACACAGCATGATTATGGCTGCCTAGTACTAAGGTTGTTCCAAGGCTCAGACTATCACGTTATTATAATATTACCATTGTATTATGATAATACCTGTATTACCATTACACCATATAGAAGTATATCATAGTGCGGGTTCGATCCTGGGTCAGGGTACATACAAGAATCAACCAATGAATGCATAAATAAGCGGAACAACAAATTGATCTCTCTCTCTCTCTCCTCCTCCTCCTCCCTCCCTCCCTCCCCTTCTTTTTCTCTCTCTCCCCTTCCTCTCTCTCTCAAAAATCAGTTAAAAAACAGAAATGTGTCATAAATACCATAGGTTATTTTTATTACTGTATAATTTACATGAAACAAAATTCACCATTTTAAGTGTATAGTTCAATGAGTTTTGACACACATACAACCATGTAAACCACCACTACCGTTCAGTTATAGTTTCCACATGTCCCCTTGCAGTCAGTCCCCTGTCCCCACCCTCTGCCCCAGACTGCTTTCTGTTGTCATAGACTAGCTCTGCGTTTTCTAGGATGTCATATAAATGTGCTCATGCAAGATGTAACCTTTTCAGTCGGCTTATTGATCACATAGATTATAGTGTATGCTTGAAGCAAACAAAGTTCAGCTCATTTAACTACTTTCCTGCAGTTGTGGCTAATCTGTCTACAGTTTGGTGTACTGAATGAACTCTTGGCTAATGATAGTTCGTGTCATCATCATGGCTGGGGCTTGTGACATTTCTGCTCTTTGAGTCAGAAAGAAATGTTTCTCATTTTAAAATCTTAGTTATATTTGGCCAGTTATCAGCTGCCAGTGAGTGGCAAAGGCTTGCAGATAGGGGAGATTGTGGACTCTCCTGTTTCTATTTACAAAGTTATTTTAACCTTACATTATGCAACATCTTTGCTGTTGATAAGCTGGTGTGTATGTAAACTGACTAGAGGCCTGATGCACGAAATTTGTGCAAGAGTAGGCCTTCCTTCCCCTGGCTGCTGGCTTCCATTTGGCACCTGGGACCCGGGCTTCCCTTGCAGAGGGAGGCCCCGCCCACCCTCTGCAGCCCCCTGGTTGGTGGCCTGGGCCTCCCTCTGCGGGGTGATCATGGGGCCACGGCTGGGCCCCCGACCAATCGCATTGCACCGCCTTGGCTAGTCTGACACCAGTGGGTGTCATAGCATGGTCCCGGATGGTCGTCCAGATTGTCATCCGGATGGTTGTTCCGCTGTTCGGCTGATTTGCATATTATGCTTTTATTATATAGTATTATGGTTCAATCAGATGGCATTTATTCAACTGTTCAAACTGTAAAAGTGAAGCATGCTCATCATAGAAAGTTTGAGAAACGAAAGGAAAAGGACAGTAATTTTTCCCCCATACTTTCTTATAGGGAATAATATTAAATTTTGGGGCACATTTCTTTCCATTTTTTTCCCTAGACATGGTCTTTTATGTAGATATGGCAATACTTTATATAAAATTTTTTACCCTGCTTTTTAAATTTAATATTTTATTCATAGAATTTCTCTATGTAATTGAAAAATCTTCATGAACATAATTTTAAATGATAATTTATAGCTTACCTATAATATATCATTATTCATTATAATTATATGTATATATAGAGAGATTAATAATTCAATAAATGAGAATTAAAAAGCACTGGGGGACCTTCCTTTTAAAAGGAATCCCGCTCTATTTTAGTATATATAGTTTATACTTACAGCAGAGCCCAGCTATACCTACTCCATAGATGGAAACACAAGCTGGCTGCCACATCAGACTTAAGTGAGGTAGAGAGTTCTTCCTAACCCTTCTCTCTTCACACGGTAAACTTGCCCATTGGCGTTTCCTGCTCTGCCTGTGTGTGGATTTAGCTATGCTTCCATGAGACTACTGGTGAGTTCCCATCTGTCGGAGCTCAAATTGACAGAAGTGATAGAGGTAGGAGACTGGAGTGTTCTTCCTGAGTTATTTTGCTTCCTGATGACAGCTGATGAAAAACATGGGCAATAAAACTGGGAGTCTTTGCTTTCTCATCATCCCTTAGGGCTTAGGCTAAAGGAGAGAGGACCCTGAGAGATGTGTCAACTACAATGGCTACAGGGCTGAGCGTCTGTTTGTCTGTATGATGCCAACTGGGCTTAATGGAACTCAAAAGATGCCTGAGGACAAGCTGATTTGTAGTAAGATCTAAAACCCATCCATGAGATAAATGCCTGGAAAAAGAACTGAAGGACCTGGATAGGTCCTAACCTGTACACAAAGTAGTAAATATTTTTACCCAGTGATTCTGACCCTGGAGGACATGACCAATGTTTAATGTTTCTGTTCAGTTCTGCCTCATAAATATTGATCAGCACTGATCTAGGCTCTGTGTGAAGGGTACGAAATGTGATTCCGCAGTAATGTGACTGATTTTTAAAAACATGAATTCTTGAGTTCATGTAGTCAATCATGTGCTCTTCTTTGAAAGGTTAAATATTTTTCCAGGATTTCTTCACTTCTCCAAAACTTTCTGACTCCTCTCTTTAGAGTTTGCCTTCACCTGTAGCATATTTTAAAAATACATGTATATAATATGAAATTATATGTGTGTGTATATATAATATATAGTATAGATTTACATTTTATTTATTTTATTTTATTTTTAATCCTCACCCGAGGATATTTTTCCATTGATTTTTAGAGAGAGTGGAAGAGAGAGGGAAAGACAGAGAGAAATATCGATGTGAGAGAAACACATCGATTGGTTGCCTCCTGCATGTGCCCCTGCACGTGCCCCAACCTGGGCCTGGGCCAGGGAGGAGCCTGCAACCCAGGTAGGAGCCCTTGAGTGGAATGGAACCCGGGACCCTTCAGTCTGAAGGCCAACATTCTATCCACTGAGCCAAACCAGCTAGGGCTAGGTTTACTTTTTATAATTAGCAAGAAGTTATTTGACAAAGTCCTATGAATGAGGTAGGGGTTCGACATGAATACTATTCTGTTAATCTAAAATGATGTGTGACTGTGGAATACTGACTTTCCATTTCAGTGGAAGAGTTCCACTGACATTGTGTGAAATGTAGTATTATTGCAATAAATCAGTCACTTCTCAAAATGACCCTGAAGGAAAATACTCATTTAGATACAAGAGCTTTGATATGTTTATAAAAAGTTTTAACTTCTTAGATAGAGAGCCATGCCTGAAAAAGGCTGTTAAACTTTAGGATATTTCTTCCTGGCTAGGAAGGTGATGTGGAAAAAATGTGATAGAGAGCAGGAGAAGAAATAGGTAGGTAGGTAGGTAGGTAGATAGATAGATAGATAGATAGATAGATATAGTGCTCTGGTGTCTGCTCTCATAGGGACACTAATCCTATTGGATTAGGGCTCCACCCTTATGACCCCATTTAACCTTAATTATTTCTTTACTCCAGCTATAGCCACACTTCAACATATGAAGTTTGAGGAGACAGTTCAGTCCATAGCGTCCTTGGCACTACATTGTGTTGTAATAATTTGTTTACATCTGTCTCCAGTGGACTGTGGTCTTCTTAAGTGCTAATCACTGTGCTGGGCATTGAGAATCACACAGATTGATCTCGTCTCCAAGGAGCTTGTCATTAGTTCTATCACTTTTGGAGACTTTAGGGGAGAATCTGTTGCTTTGCCTTTTCCAATTTCTAGAGGCTGCCTGCATTCCTTGGCTTGTGACCTCCATTTCTCCATCTTCAAAGCCAGCAAGTTGTACCATGTGACCACTCTTCTTTAGTCACATCTCCCTCTGGCATGACTGGGAAAGGCAAAAAGCATGAGATATGGCAAGGCCCATGAATGAAATCCTGACAATTATGGATGTTTGAAAAGAGGAAAGAGGACTTTTCTAAGGAGACTAAGAAAAACATGTCCATTTATCTTTGTGTCTCCATCTCAGACACAGGACCCAAAGGCAAGTCTTCTCGATTTGCTTAATTTAACTGAATGGGTGCAGAGTACATGTTAATGGTTATTGATGGACCCTATCGAAGGAGGTAGATTGGGAGGAGAAATGGTGTGAGGAGTAACCAAGGACGGCATGAGCTTGATAGATTGGAGAGGGAGAGAGGTGAGGGGTAAGCACTACAGACCCCAGTTCAGCTTGGGTGGGCGGGGCGGATGGAGTCATGAAAGTTGAATAATTAGGTGGAGTCAGACAACGCAGGGCCTGAAATGGACGTCAGATAGGAGGATTTAGATTCCAACAGGCCACCTCCCCGGGAAGATTCGGGTTGTGGAGCAGAGCGTGAGGACATGAGACATCCTTTGGGGGACTACCCTCTGGAGGTGGGGCACTGATGACTGCTGCTGGTGGTGGTGGTGACAGTACCGGGTTGTTAGCGGTGGCAGAGCTTTCCCCTGGACTTCGGCTGTATAGGTGCTGAGAGGGAGCAGTGTCGCCGGCTGCTGCTGATTGGGTGCTGACCCAGGGCAGTAACTCGGCTTCTGAGCCTCGGTGGCAGCGGAAGGCGGAGGTGGAGGCGGAGGCATCTGGCCGCAGCTGGGAGGCAGTGGTGCGCTCGGTCTGGGAACCCTGGGGCGGGG